TTTTTTTTTTTTTTTTATTATTGTTTTTCCCTTTTCTTTTTCCACAATTGAAGTTGAAATGGAATTTGACTTGTCCAAAATTTTGACGCGTCAACAGTGGATGAACGTTACCGGGAATGTGTACATAGTTGGGACAAAGGATGATGATCATCTTCATTAATTTTCAACTGTATTTGTCAATTCATTTCTTAAAAAAGTTAAATCTAGATATGAATTTCCAGCTGATATAATAAGATCAGCTTTTTTTAAAAAAAACAAAAAAAAGAAAAATAACCTATTTAAATGATGGTTGGTTGGTCAGAAAAATTGCATAGTTTATATACTTATTAACGTATTTTTATATATATATCTATATCGCAATTATATATTTTTCGACTTACTTTAGAAAATTTATGATTTATTTTTAGGATATAGTAGGATTTTAATTGACGGGAATATCTCATACTCAACCTTATACCTGCTCAATTTTGGGCCCAAGGATGGATAAAAGAGGCCCAATATTTTCATGTGAAAGAAATGGACAGATTAACAAAAACAGTTCTTTAAAGTTTGATTTTGAAGACTTTAAACAAAACAGTTGATTGAGTTCCACATAACTAATCAACGTTCCATATTATATGTAGTTCTATTAAGAACGGTCAATATGTTCCATTATTTGACCGCTGTAGCCTCTTACTTTATCAAGTTTATTAATCGTGACACGGTGCCTGTCACAGGAATAATGATAAATCATATAAATTAAAACAATGATAAAAATCAATTATCATAAAAACATTTTTGAATATTAATTTTCATTTTATTGTTTTTTGTTATTTTTATGATATATTATAGTTTAATATAATTTATATGTGTATGTCGCTCGTTATGAAATAACTGTAATTTTAGTATTCGTGTAGCATTAAAGAACATGAAAGTTTAACATATTCAAACATAATCAATAAATAATACTATTACAATATATTCGATTCTTAAATAAGTGATGATAAAGTTAAATTGTGAGAAATATTATAAACCGGCAATTGATTAAAAAGAATTTAGTGTATATTATTTAAAAGTTGTAAATTCGTTAATTTTAATTATGTTAAAAGTATGTTAATTTTTATTATAATTTATAATCATGTATATTATAAATATTTGGAGTTTTCTTTGTATTACGATAATTCACATGGCTCTTCAATACTGGTTTATTTATCATTATAGTTTATAAAAATATATATTATAAATATGTTTTTCTAAGCTAAATTTTACATTGTTGTTTGACAAATGACTTGTTGGTTTATCATTATAATCTATAACAATATATACTATTTTATAAATTACACGGATAAACCACAAATGATTCTGTTGGTTTGTCAACATAATTTATAACAATATATTAAAAATAAAAATAATGTGATATATATTATTTTAAATTTATAAAATTTACTAATTTCTAATTACGTATTTGACAAAAATATTCTAACTTTTTTATACTGTATATTATAAATACTAGTGCGCATCCCGTGCGATGCACGGACAAGCTTGCTACATAAAACCTTTTATAAAACTTTATTTCAAACATAATTATTTATATTTAACATCTCATTATTGTAAAGAAAAAAAATACAAAATATAAAAAATTATATATTGTTTATTTGTATAGAATAAGTGTCTCAACCAAACCAATAACATAATAGATAAATTGGTATCTACCCATGGAGGCCCCGGCTTATGGGTTGGGAATGAATTTCACTTCCAAATAAAAGTTGACTTTATTGATTACATGTACTTTTACCTAGGCGCAAAATTACTTTTTGAAATCATCGCACATTACATGAAACTACGTATTCTAAAGTAATTGCATATATGTTCGTGCAGAATACACAAATGAGACTATATGGAAAGATTAATCAGTAGTTTATACAATGAAAAAAAAAATATCAATAATATTAATGACACAAGTGGTTATTTCATAGAGATATTCATGAATTGTTAGTAAAAATACCTAATAAAGATCATACAATCATGAAGTTTGACTATATCTTTGGCCAGAATAATTCTAAGTGCTTAAAGAAAGTAGACGTTTTGCCAAATGAATTAATAAAAAATTTATAGTACTTGAATGTTTCTTATGAGATCGTGAAAATCAAAAATAAAAGAAAATCACTCTTAAATAATGTAACATAAATAAATAAAAGAAATATATATATTTTTTTTATTAAAGCTCATTTTTCATATATTTTTTTTGTGGTTGTATATATATATTCTTTCATTCTTTCTATATTAGGACATTATTATGTCATTTAAAAAAAAATACATTAGGAACTCATTTATTCTACATTTATTTTTTTCCTACAATAATGTATTTAATAAATTAATTAAATTATCTTACTAAATTTAATCGAATAAAAACATTTACGAATATGTTATCATACATGCACTTTACTAGGCAATTAAAAAAAAAANTATACATATTTGTATGTGTCTTTTTCAACAAACAAATACCAAGCAAAAATACTTAAGCATAAAATGCATGTTTAATTAATTAATTACCAATAAAAGTCCCATCTCGGTCGAACTTTCGACATTCGGTTGTGTCCGTAGGGAAAATCCGTGTGGCCACGCCTTGCATTGTGGAACGCGCAACAGCCAACCGAGTAGATGGCTATGAGAACGAGCACCATAATGATGTTGAGTACCGACAGCTTATGCCAGTTGCGCCTCACGTCCTCAAGCACACCGGCCTTGCACGAGTTGCACTCGTAGCATAAAACACTCGGGTCGTTGTTCCAACGGTAGCAGTCAGGGTCCTGACCTGCCGCTGCAGAACCCGACCCGTAGTTGCACGAGGTCGGCGGTTTGCAGCACCCCGACTGCAAAACTCCCCACCACATCACGTGTTAGATCCAGTAAAATAAAATAAAATGAAATCAATCGTTGAACTTCAAATTTAATTTATCATTCATCTGAATCAGATAATTACAATTATAGAAAATGTTACAATCTCATAACAGAACTATTCATTTATATAAATCATCAATAAGAAACTGTCACGTCACTTTTACTTGATTGCATCTAAGCGTCTATATCAAAACTAAAAGATGTAATTATTTTAATTAAATTGAGAACTATTCCCCAATAGGACTGTATTTTTTCCCTATAACCATTAACCATTATTTTACTATATTCTTATCATATTATAATATTTAATTATTGTTCATTATATCACATTAAAAAAAATTACTAATTTATCCATTAATTTTATTTCACCAACTAAAATGTTTTCATTCAAATGCATATATATTGATCAATTCAATGTATAGATCGTTTAGCTAATAGTGATGATCCACGTGGATAAGTGCAGATTATTAGAAAAATGTTATTATAGAAAAGCATCAACTTATTTTGCTAGACCAACACCTTAAAAGAATACAAAAACTAAAGCTAAAAATTAATAGAAAGCAGAAGCCTTAATATTAAAATGAAAGAAAATGAAATATTTTGCTTCCTTGGAAATTAACTTTATGAATCTTATAAAATAATGTAACAGAATCATGTTCTTAGAAATAGCTAGATGATCAGAGAATGGTAGGTCAATTAGTTAAGTGGTAGCAATATGTGCCACGTAATTAAGTGGGTAAAGATGCTTGTATTCGTTTTCTACTAGTATTCGATTTGTGCAAATGCACATATATAAATAAAATATTGTGAGTTATTTGTATGCATATGATGATTAATGCTTTTTTTTGCACTTTTTTGCAGGCCAAATTTACAATTAAAGGAGTTGGAATATTTATTTTTTAAAATTACGTTTATCATATTGGATGTAATATATATTTTGGTATGTATTTTTTGTAAATTATTTATTATTTATTTAGGAACTTCAAATACGTTTTTTATTTTCCAAAAGAAGTTAATTTAAATGTAACCACAACAATGACATTTAATCAAGTTAAATAGTCAACACATTATATGGTCAGCTGTAAGTAAATCAAAAGTTTAAAATGATTTTTGTAATTTTGAAGTGATTAGTGTGTTGATTATCTAATAATTAAATAAGAGGTTAAATAAATAAAAAGTAACAAATTTTAAAGAAAAAAAAATTATATTGTCACGTAGGTATAATTTAATAAGTTTTATTAAATATTCATGGGCCAACAATTATATATATATAAATATAGATATAGATATAGATACGTACAGAAACATAATTAAAAAAAATGAAAAGAGAAGGAGATAAAAGAGAGATTATGTGTAGTATAAGTTTGTGATGTGGGAGGCAATAAAGTGATTCATCATATTCACCTTTTTCATGCACTCATATGGTAATCTCATTCATCAATCATCACTCACCAGCTTCTTCTATTTCTATTTCAGGGAACATAAATATGATCACAAATGTGAAAAACGAAAAGCCGGCTCATATCTATGCCACGAACTTCATTAATATAAATAGATTATTCATTCATTTATTCTTTTTTTAATATATTTCAAAAGTTTATTTAGAAAAAATAATAATCATATGCCACATCGATAACGCGACCTTGAATAATAATGTGAACTCGCTAATTTGTTTATTAGTGAATTGGTGCTATATTAGCGAATTAAATTTTATTTAGAGATTTGGCCAATCAAATTCTTTAATTACTTTGTGTGGTAACGAACTTATTTAATTAATTTTTTTGTCCGAAAATGCTAAAGAAAAGAACAACTTTGACTTTTATTAAGAGAAAATCAATGATGCTACTTTATTTTTTCACTCAGTATAAGCTTTTATAAAATTTTAAACTAAATTGCTCCTTCAATTCCTTCCATAAATAAAATGCATTCATGATTTCAATTCCAAATTAAACAAGGTACTAACTACTAATTAAATAGACAAACACATAATCTTATCCAATTTTCCTTTCTCAAGATCACATTAATTTTTTCTAGAGATATGTTTAGCGAATAATAGCAAGAGGATACTATTAGATTAAAAAGAAAAAAAAGACAACATCTAATATTGTCTATTCTTAAACCGATGCAATATAAAATAAAGTAAAATATAATTATAACGTACTTAATTACCTGAATAGGAGTCATATCCCTAGTGAGATAATCGAACGGCGTCCACGTGGCAACCTTCCCGCAGGTCTTGGATCCGAGTATACAGCCCTTGATAGTCGTCCAATACCTCGGGTCCTCGACCCGCTTCCTGAGCCAACCCGAATAAGCCTCCAGATGGTACTCCTTGTAGATCTTGCCTGCCACGTCATCCCCTCCGCCAGGCCCAGTAACAACGAACCCAAAGACAGTGAGGCCCATTAAGGCCCCGATAAGGAAGAGCATGACGAGCAGATAGACCCAAAGGGCCCACGCCACGTGGAAGCAGGCCCCTATGAAGCCCGCTAAGGACACTATTAGGACCACAAAGCCCACCACCAACAGCGGAGTCTGGAGGAAGCTCTCGCACGTGGTGCTGCTGCGGGCCATCCAAAGCCCGGCACCGATTATCGGGATTGAGGCCAGTAGTGTGAAGAGGTTCAAGAACCCGATCACCGTGTTGCTCAATCTCATGTACATGATAATGTTGTGTTGTGTTGTGTTTGGTATGGTTGATTGATTATTGAGATCTTTGATGATAGATATATAGCAGCTTTATTCTTCAAATTTCTGTATATATTGTGGGGGGGTTTTATTTGGTAAGATGGGTGATGCTTTTTGTGTTGATGTGGTTAGTGCAGTTGCTTTTAGTGTCTTGGAATATAATAAGGAACT